AAATGGCTGAGGATCTAAACGCGCATCAACGACCCGTCAGATGGGTGTTGATTTTAACCCGTTGCCAACTAGTGGTATGTACGTACATGCCACGGCTGTTGTGGACCAAAACACAGATGGCATCGTATCGTGCCCATTCCCACGCCACTGACTTGTCAGACGGAGTTAGTTTTTCTCCGATAGTAGCGGCTTCATTTATATGGTAAAGATTTTAGGCAATGGTACCTATAATGAAGGTAAACCTTCAAAATTATAATATCTTTATAGATTATAGCAAAATAAAAGCTTTTAGGGGCTAAATGTAGCTTGCAAACTACCAATTGAGCCGTGCGCAAACGGGAAACTGCCGATGTGTGCCAACAATCCTGTTCTTACGTCCACTTGTCAAACATTTTTACCCGTCGGCACTTGGTTAAATCAGTAAATTTAAAATCTTTAAAAAAATTATATGCTATGAAACCTGAAACTACAGCAAAAATAGGGAATAAGTTCTTATACTCCATGTTGCTCAAAAGAGAAGTACTATGCTTGATTTTACTCAAGTGAGAGGCATGTGTGGTCTGGTATGGTGGTGCATTTCGCTGTTGAAACATTATACCTGGTTGGGCACTCAGACACTAGTCATGTCCTAGCCAAAGACAAGTCCAGTTAAATTGTGCCTTAAGAAATGAGCCATTGGAAGAAAGTGTTTAACTTGCTTGATTAATGATGTATTATGGCAGAAGCGGGTTGTCCAGAGACATCACCTATATCTGCATTCACACTATTCCTTGGTAGAGGGGCCCTGAGATACAGGGTGGTTTTGCCTTGCCCTCATGGGGTTTTGATATACAGTTTAACATGTTTTCTTGGATTTATGTTGCATGAAAGTATAAATAGTCATCTTAGTATTCTTTTTCTAATTTTACCATGTATGGAACTCCATTGGCACAAAGTTTGAGAATGGATCCTCCTTCTGAAGTTGTTTATTCCCAAATATTAAGGCCAATGAGGATTTTTGGAACACAAATAACTTACAAGAGCAAGATACTCTAAAGGATGTAAATAGCTGATATTAGTAGACATCTACATTAGGAATATCCACAGTGTTATAGACATTTCACTCTCTCCTGTCAAACCAGTGTCTAATCCACAATGGTTCTGATTGCTTCCTCTTCCTCTTTGCCCTTTTGAGGGAAAGGAAAAAGTATGATGTATATACAGCCAGTGCTGCTTCCTTTGAGAATGCCAGGGCTGCAGTGTTTATATCAAGGGTCAGGAGGCAGGATGATGGTCCTTTCAGCAGGGTAAAGTGAAAAGCCTTTTGGTATCACGGGACTAGAATGTAGGATGGTGTACTGGCTTGGCAGGAGACCAGCTAGTATAAAGCTATAGTGTGACTGTGGCTTTATACTGAAATGGATATTTTACCTTATTTTATGCAGTGAATTTCTTTAGAATTTTTGTATGTGATGAAACATTTGAGAATTTTGATATTTCAATTTCAGTAAAAAGGAATAAAGTGTTTCTGTATTCTTTTCAGATATTGGGTCTTGGCAGAATATGGTGGAACTTAATTTGGGTACGAATCATTTGACAAAAGTTCCAGATGATATATCTTGTCTACAGAGCTTAGAAGTTCTTATTTTGTCAAACAATAATCTCAGGGTAAGTCTGAAATATTTTCCTTAGTATCACACATGAAGATAATTGAGTTTGAAAATAGAATAGTAGACCTTTAACCCATTAACGCCGGTATATTTTGAAGCCGAAAATAAAAGATTCCGGGCAGCTACAAAATTGGCGCGCGGTGCTGGCACGGACTCTGCCTGCTCGCTGGCTGTGGCCCGCTGCTGCATCGGAGCACGAGCCCGAAACAGCGTCACACTGGCGGGACGCCTGGCAATATTTATTTTTTCAGGTGTCTCATGTGGGACACCCGTCGTTAGTGGGTTAAAAGTGGATTAGTTGGCAGCATTTGCTTTGTAACTAATTACAACGCAATTTGGTATAGTCATGCTTTTCAGCAATGAAAACACTGAAAAAAGTTATTTATTTTTCAGTGTTTTAACACCACTGATAGTCAGGATGAGACCTTGGGTCAGTGGGTGTCCCAGTTATAAGCAAATTGAAATTTCCAGGAACACTCAAAACAGGTGTATGGGAGTCTGTGGTATCATTTATAAATATATTTAAACCTTAAGGAGTACCCTGATGTATGTGACCTCTACACAATCAAAATCTTAATGGAAAGTTGAAGCATTACAAAGGCTTGTGGTCCAGGGTTGAAAGGCTTTTTTTTTTCCCAGTTTTATATGATCATGCTTGTAGTGCTTAGGTTTGGTTTGTGCAGCTGATAGACTTCTAAAAGGATGAGAAATGATGGGCCACGAATGGGAGTAATTAATTTTAGAGACATTTAAATTAGGATCAGAAATTCTTCCTGTAGCCCATTCTTTACCAACAGTTTAAAAGAAACCTGTAGATAAAATTCAATTTTTATGATTATTATTAACCCCTATGATCTGGCTGACATGACTATTATGACTGGGGTAACAGGACCTTGCTGTCATGAGAATTTCAGCAGAAGCCTGCAACAATGAGAATGATGCCATGAGTGCACAAAGCTGGTAGAGGGTGATAAGATACATTGGGTGTTTAGGAAGGGACTTATTTCCATTGATAAATTAGAGGAATGTATTATCCCTGAGCCATAATTGGAAGAGCACCAAATCCAGGAAAGATTTTGTTTCCTTGCCCAGGATCCTATTCCTGCTTGCCATGACCAGCATCGCAGGCTGTATTACAGAAAATTGAATATTAAGAAAAAATGAGGAAAGGAAAAGGATAATGAAATGTTACATATTGTTAGTATTATTGTACTGTATTCTGGACTACCTCGAGATAATATTGGGATCTGTGCAAGGAAAATAGTTGAATACCATTTGGATAACGGAAATCAAATGGCAAATATAGACATTGGAAAATATCAAAAAAGCCAAAAATGCTTGTGCAGAAAAAGGAAAATATTATTTCAAGGAGAAAGCTTGGAATAGTGTCACCGCACACGAGTGATTGTGTGTGCGAGTGGCCTACAAAACATATGTCTGTCAGACTGGCTGTACAAGCCTAATGCCAGTATTTTGGGTCACTTGCAGATAGTGAAACATCTGGAAGTGAAGCATCCAAGGGGTCAGTGTTTATTTAATAATAATGGTAATTTTAATAGCATCAATAAAAATAATGATAACAGTCGTAAAGTTGGTAAATAGAACGGGATAGAGGCGATATCAGGTAGTCTCAGAAAAGATACTCTCTTTTGTGAGCAAGCATTTATTAAATTACCTACATGTGAACAAAATTGATATAATGAAACCACAGTGGATCATGCATATACCAAATGCCAGTGGTCATAGTGTGTGGGTGGGTGAGTGTGTGGGTGCATACTTGTTTAGGTGTTTGGGTGTGTGGTGTGTTGAGTACAGTGTGTGCTACTTTACACCCATGAAAGACAATTGTGCATGGCAAATGGCTGCTGCAATATAGCATTCTGAGGAAGTGTAAGTGAATACGATTGGGAAGCAAAAAAGTAAAACAAAAGTTTTTCCCTTTACAGAAAATTCCTTCAAGTATAGGCAACTTACGCAAGCTTCGGGTGTTGGATCTAGAGGAGAATCGTCTAGAAGGGTTGCCACCTGAGATAGGGTTCCTTAAAGATCTACAAAGGCTTATAGTCCAATCCAATCAGCTTTCTGCTCTGCCACGTGCTCTGGGGTTAGTGATCTGCTCATGTCTTATCTGTTTAGCTGGATGACCATTTATTTACATGTGTACATGATTGTTTGTTATACATTAGAGTTTCTAGATTTGAATATTTACAAGACAGTGTGTTCTCTTGATTCCAGATCAGATTTTTGTAGTGCTTAAAACTTGAGAGTAACATGGATACTATTTCATTTTGCAGGCATTTAGTCAATCTAACTCACCTGAGCGTTGGTGAAAATAACCTGAGTTACCTGCCAGAAGAAATAGGGACTTTGGAGTCTCTTGAGACTTTATACATCAATGACAATCCTCAGCTACACAACCTACCCTTTGAGTTGGCACTCTGCACAAATTTGCAGATAATGTCTATTGAAAACTGTCCTTTGAGTCAGATACCTCCTGAGATTGTGGCTGGTGGCCCATCTTTTGTTATCCAAGTAAGTTGTGCATTTATCAGTTGTTATTCTTGTATTCTGTTTTTTTCTTTTATGAAGTATATGATTTTTGTAATGTGCATAAGTTTCAGTTCATAATATTTCTACAGCATTAATGAATTTCTCTTTTTTTATAGTTTTTGAAAATGCAGGGTCCATACCGCACAATGTGAGGGTGATGTCCCTCGTTACCAGGAGTCACGTCGGGAGGTCCGAGTAGACATGCATCAAGAGGAGCAGTCTCGGTGGCTGTTGCTCCCCGGCCGTGCTCTGCCTCTCCTGCACCTCTTACACTGTTCCTGCTGCTCCTACACCCATAATTGTATTTGCTGCTTGTGGTTCAGGCTGGCACAACAGCTGTGGTTCATGTCCGTACTGCTTGTGGTTCAGGCTCATGTGACAGCCTGTCATCAGTGTTGTCACCAGTGGCAACTGAAAGGAATCTTGCTTGTGGACGTGAAACCCAGCAGCCATCTGTGGCATTTGGGTGACAGCAGAGAGAAGCTTGGATGTGTCAGGGACGCAGGCTGCCCATGTGAAATGTGATATTGTGCTTTTCTTGTTAGGTATAAGTGTGTCACAAAGCCAGGCTAGAGGAGGACGAGGTGGTAACTGAAACCTGGCCTGGCTTTGGTCATGTCTGGTGTGAGAAGCATGGTATGGGACAGTGGTAATGGAAGGGGAGGTGGCCCCCATCCACTCTTCCAGTCCTTGTACTGGGTCACAGGAGGTTTGATCAAGTAGGAAAAGACCTCTTTGCTGGTATGCCAAAGGTGGAGCACTTGCTTTACTTCATACCAAAACTGAACAAGAGTAACCAAGTCATATTGATGGTAGCAATGCAAGGAGGAGGGCCCCCTTCCCCCATTCAACAATCACCATGTTGGAATTAGAAAATAAAAAATAAAATAAATTAAAAAGAGAGAAAGTATGAGTGAGTGTTGCAAGAGTGAGTGTGCCGAATGCACGCATGAGAGGAACAACAGCGCTGGTGCTCTGTCAGATGTTGATTATGCATGTATGGCTGTGCAGGTGTGTGCACAGAGCTGTTCATATTAGGTAGCACTGGTGGCATGGCACTGGTCTCCCCCCTACACAATGGCGTTCACTATCCATTAAGTGGCAGCCATGTGTGACTTCTCCCCCGCTCCACATTGGCTGCTGTATGGTTACTGGATGACGTTGAAGCAGTGCCAGCCACTAGCCCCGCCTCTACTCTGTGCTGCTTATGTGTGAATGTCCTGGTGTGTATATACTGTATATGTAACATAAGCCTGCTACTATTAGGTTGCTTCAAACCGTCGCTGTTTTATCCTCTCATAAAGTTGCTGTCTCCCAGACCAGTGCTTCAGTGTGTGTGTTTGTATGTACAATGTAGTGAGTGTTAATTGTCACAGAAATTACACAAAAAGTTTTGTGTGGATGTGAATATCAGTATTTTCTAGAAAGGCCTGATTTGCTTTGCTATGTAAATATTTGCTTTAACTAACTCAGTCCAGGAATAACTATATGAAATTGATGAAATTAAATCATACTTTGCTTCCTGTGCCAAGCTAAGGCTTTTGTTTTTTGTGTCTATTTATATGATTTTTAAAAAATGTTTAGTTACTTTTCAAACTATGAAACTGACGAGACTAGTTTGGTGGCGACATCGGACCAGTGTGTCTTGTATTAAGAATTAAGTCTTTATTTAATACATTCACAGGAAATCATGAATGTATTGGATAGAGTATTAAGCCAAGAGAGTCTCATCTAAGCAGGAACGAGTGCCAGCAGTTCGATGGCCTCAAAGATACTAGGTGTTGGCAGGTCATCCCCCTTCTGTCCCCTCATTCCTGTCAGTAGTAACTTACACTTGGCAAGGAAGATCAGAGAAAACCTATTCTTTTATCATTGTTAACCTCATCACCCCCTCCCCCTTGAGGCTCATTGGTGCTCTACAAGTAGAGCCTCCTCCCCTGGTCATAGCGAGGTGGATAATATACTCACAGAGAGGAGTGAAGCATCATGCTTCAGTGTGTCAATGATAGATAATTTCAAATGAATTACACTTCGTCCTAAGTGTCTTTGTCATCATGTGAGTTATAAACCTTATTTTTTTGAGCAGCAAAGACCAATAATATACAAGTGCAGGGTGACCTTGGCATTAGGCCAGAAAAGAAATGAATGCACAATAAGAAATCTTGGAAATGGAGACCATCTTTAAAGAGATGGCCAACTGACATAACCTTGCACATTTATTTTTAGGTTGAACTGGAAGTGTTTTACACTAGCGTTCAAGCTGCTGCTCTGTGGAGATTGACATTTCATCAACAAGAACTGCAAGGCAGTTAGGTTTTAGTGTACCTTTCAATGACTGCTGCTGCTGCTAACTCCTTGGAGCAGCTGTGAATAATAACCTAGTCAGTGTCCCGTGGGGTGTTGTGCCTGTAGGCTGGTATGTCACTGGTCTAAGTCACCTCCCACACCATCCATTGCTTTGTAGCATCCACCCCACAGACATAACCAATGCTTATTACTCAAATGGACATGCTGTGTATCAGTCGCCTCTCAAAAATGTTACTCAATAAACCTGTAGGTGACACCATGTATCATTACCACCCAACTTTTGCCGTGTTTGAAGGATACAAAAATTATGATTGCAAATTATGTATATATTTACAAAGTGTAATACAAGAACTACAAACCTCTCTTTTTTTTTTTTCTTTAATTCAAAAACTTTTCAAAATCAACTTTATCTAATCTCTTCATTGGGATTTCAACACTCCTTAGAACTTTGGTTACCACACCTGTTGCAACAGTTGCATTATTTTCTCTGATGGTGAAAGACTGTCCACCTGTCATTACCATTCTCTCCTGTAATGTCACCTCTACTTTTGTATGGTCACCTGAAAGATGAAAGAGCAAACTTTTAAAAATAGATGAAGCTATAGACATTTTGTTTCTAAAATTATCTATATACATTCATGTTAGTCTCTCAAAAAATTTATCACAGAAGTAAAACAATTTCTGTGAGAACTAGGCACATTAATCTTTTTTCCACTTCTGCATGCGAGACACAGACACACAGACGCACGCAAATGGGTGAAGGTACGGAGCAAGGGCGATTAGAGGAGTAGGAGAGGATGAATGTTGGCAGTAACTTTAAATGTAGAGGGCTTGGGAGCAGAGAGATTGGGGGATGAAGGAGGTGTAGACATATCCTGGATCCTGGTTTAACAGTTTTGAATGTTTAAAAATGTCCTTGAGAGTTTCTGAAGGAGTTGGTTGGGGAGGTCTCAGAAATGAATGTTTATGAGGGGGAGAAGAGGGGATGACAGATGTTTGAAGGATGGGGGAAGAGGCTAATGTAGAAGATAGGGTGGAATATTTTGTTTGTCTTATGCTATGAGCAAAGTAAGGAGGAGGAGGAGGGTAGGTACTGGTAAAGTAAAGATTAGAATGTCTGGATTTAGAATAGTCGTAGATGTCTGGATGTCTGGATTTAGCATGAGAAAAGAATTATTGGGAGGGGGAGGGGGAGTAGTAAGGGGTAGAACTGGAATGATTGAAAGATACTGGAGGGATGTAGAAACATAGGAGGAGGGGGGGGCAGGGCAATGGAAAGCCCTGTGCTAGACATCAAAGGTTATATAGCACTATGGTAAAGTCTTGTGTCAGAAAGGGTAAAGAAGAGTTAAAGATTACAATAAAATGTGTTATATGTCAAAGATTAGAGAGCATTATAGGATAGTATGGTAGTGAAAAGGGAAAAAAAGGGGAGTAAGTGAACTAGAGTAGAGATTAGTAGAAAGGGGAGGGTTAGGGAAGTTGGGTGAATGAGTAAATTATAGTGTATCTGTCCCTGGGGAAGGTAAAGGAAAAATAGAGTTGGCTGTTGGAAAAGTAGGAGAAGAATCCAGGGAGAGGGGAAGGTGTTAGATGTCTAAGATTAGAGGGTGTTATAGGAAAGTATGGCAACGAAAAGGGAAAAGAGGGAAGTAAATGAAGTAGAGCAGGGATTTGTAAAATGGGAAAGGTTAAGGGTGTAGAGCAATTGAAGGAAATGCATTGTATCTGTGACTGGGAAAGGAATAGGGACATTGTTCAAGTAAAACAGAGGTGGTTGTTGGAGAAGTAGGAGAAGAATTTGGGGGATGAGAAAGGGGGACTGGGGTAGGTGGTGAAGTATCAGGAAGAATATCTGGAAGGGAGGGGTCTGGAGAAGGACATTGTTGTGATAGAGGGGATTCGTACTAGTATTCAAGCGGAAGCAGTAGAGAGAGGGGTATGTTGGGGGGTGTAGGAGGAAGGGGGTGTGGAGGGAACTTGAGGAGGAGGAGGATGGTTATCTGCAAATACTTTAAATGTAGAAGGAGTAAGAACAGGGATTGGGGGTGGGGGGTGTTCCCTTGGGTCATCTTTAGGAAGTTTTGGATGTCTTCAAGGGTTTCTGGAGGGGAGATGGGTGAAGAGGACTGAGGAGAAGTGTAGATAGATATCTGAGGAGCAGAAGAGGAAGGTGTAGGAGAGGGTGGAGTGCGACAAATAAAGTGAGGAGCAGGGGGTAGGTATTGGGGAAGTGGTAGAGATTGGAGTATCTGGATTTAGAATGGAAAACAAATTTGATGGGGGGATAGGGTGAGTAGACGTAGGATGGTTTAGGGTATAGGGGAGACATACTGGGGGAGATGCAGAAATATCTTGTGAAGATGGTGGGGAAGCAAAGTGAAGGACTGTTTTGGAATAAGTTGAGAGGGAAAAACCTCATTGTCATGCTTCTTTTCTGACCTCATGTAGAGTGAGGCCTAGTTTGAATCTGAGGACTGCCACTTCACATTTGAGCTTGTAGGCAGGGCAGCTCCCATAACATACATTATGGGAATCTCAACAAATGGCACATGTACATGACTAAGCAGGGCAATTTGAATGGTTGGGCACATAGAGGTCAGCAAGTTGTGGAGTGACAGTGTTTGGCTGGGTGGTCAAAATGCCAACATTTCTCACATTGACAAGGAAGGGGTTAATATGGTCATAAATGGTATGAAAATCCAATGATATAAACTTCATGGGGGAGGTCAGGTCTATGGAAGCTAATCTTGGCAATACTGACATGGGACTTACACTGGCTCTAAGAGGAATAGTGTAACACTATTGCCACTGCATCATAATCAGCAAGGCAGGTAAGCAGGTCATTTTCACAATCTTAACCAGTCCTTGTTGTAGATAGGACAAGCATTTGGGGGAATAGAAACAGTTCCAGTACAAGTATTAAGTGAGGGGTGACGTTAGGCAGGAATGGGTTTGCCAGTAAGGTCAGTTTGAGTAGATTGTCACAAGCTTGAAATTCAAAGGTAACTGGTGTGTAAAACTGAGTGACCAGAAAAGGTGACTTTGCCTACTTGTTTTTGGAGGCACTGTTGAAAGAGAAGGGTATTCTCAGAATAGGGGACTGTGGGGGGATCACAAAGAATTGATCCAACTTGGCT